TTTGAAAAAGTGGCACTTTTGTAAAGATTTCAAAAGTGTGGAATTTTTGTAAAGTGGCACTTGAAAAGTGACATTGACCCAAAAAAAAATTATGGTCCTTCATTTGTAGAGACCTTAATACTAGTACGATATAAAATATAAATTTATGTTTTAGTATCTTTACGTGGTTCGCAAGAAAAAAAAAACAAATAGGAAATTTAACATCTAACTAGATGTGATAGTTATGCACCATCAACATTAATATATTTTAAATAATTTGAAATATGATTTAGCGGTAATTTTGGAGTAAAATGAAAAACATTTCAGATATGTATGTTAAAGTTAGATATTTCTCTTTGTATGAAAATTTATATTTGGCATGTAAATAATGATTACATGAAAAATATTTAACATAAAACGCTAGAAACTATGATAACCACATATTTATAGATTTAATCACGTTGGCATGTAAGTACCGGTTGTCTGATTATACGGACATGGCCGGTCCTCAGGAGAGTCAGATAAAAGCATGTGTCTATGGTCTCCAAATTTTAGAAGTTAATATATACCAATAGTTAGCTTCTAAATCATAATTTTTTTTATCGGTTCTCTATATGTTATTTGAAAAATGATTTGTGAGAGTTTGCTTATGTATCATTTAAACAATTATTCTCATAAAAAAAATGTGACATGACTTAAAAAAATATGACATGACAAATTGGAATCATAACAAAACTTTTTATGCATTAAATTTATATTTTTTTTTATAAATAAAGCAAAACTAGTATTAACCAATATTTTATAATATTTTCGTTTTTCATTTAAAATTTTTTTAGCAATATTTTATAGTATTTATTTTCATTTAAAAACTATTTAGAAATTAATTATTGTCAAAATAAAGTTTTGGAACACTTTTGTATATAAACTATATTTACTTATGAATTAATCTCATTTATTCTTGATTTTGGGTTTTAGTAATTAGTGTTGTCATGTAAAATATTTTTATTCATTATGTATTATTTATGAAATGTTCTTTAAACATAGATAAAGGAGATAAAATAAATATTCGTAAAATAATTTATTTGAATGATTTATCTCCTACATATTATTATTTTTTAGTATATTTATAAAATTATTTATAAGTGATAAAATACCACAACATTGCCTTAATTTTTTTAATACCAAGAAGATATCACAAACTTCAGGTTGAACTTAATCGATTTTTTAATAATATTAATAGAAACCTAAATTTAGAAATTCAAATATATATTTGATTAAAATTTGAATACGAATTGAACCATACTCTATTGTTTTTATATATGTTTTTAATTTAAAAACTATTATTCATGAATCAAAAATAACAATAATATACAAAACCAAAACTGCAAGAAATTTAAATAAAACACTATTTATAATTTTTAACCACAATAATAAATTTTTTAATTTTTTTTAATTTTAAAAAATATTAATCCACGTAAAATGTGAGAATCTATTTTTTTTTTTAATAAATTGTATGTGGCAATATAAATATTAGGGCCCGGCCCTGCCTACATATGAATATGTGTTTAACAAAAGTTTTTCATAACCTCAAGAGTTAGCACGAATAAAACATTTAAATCGATGCCCAAAAATCCAAATATGATCCAATAGTAGTAACGTTGTTCCTGCAAAAAATTAACCTCAAGAATAAGTAAATTATGTTTTTCTTCAAGCTAAGCTGTAATCCAAAACGGATACGTTGAAGCAAAATGTTATGAAACGTGGAAACAATTTTTTTTTTTAAAGGAGGAAACGAAA